CAGTCTAAACACCCCCACCCCTCCCCACCACAGAGTGACAGAGTCAGTATGTCCCTTGAGAATCGTTTATCTATCCAATGAGTTCCAGCTCGACTAAGGGACTTGACATCTGGTTCTGGCACTCCTAAAATATGTCATGGAGACAAGCGTGTGTGGCCATGCTTGTCCCCCTGACACAATCAGCGGAATCACGGTTGCCCGCCTACTTACCTGCCCTACATTTCTGCTCTTGTTGCTCTGTTGGTAGACAGGCTGTGTAGCACAAGTCGCCGAGCAGACTGGCGGAGACTGTACCAACTGCTAGCATCACAGCAAACGCGGTCATAAGCTTGAACGTCATTTCTGCAAATCTGTTGACATCAAAGCAGTGGATACAAACGAAAGACAAACAAAACTAACTGCCCAAGCGAGCGACAAGGAGCAACTAGCTGCACACAATAAGCCAGTAAAACTGATGCACACGCAAAACTTAGGCCCTGACACAAAGCTATAGACCAAATGGACGAACAACCAAATTTCTGTGACAACGTGCGCAGAAAAGACGGAATTAAATGCATTAAGATAAGCTGGCGGAAGACTGTTACATTTTGGTTAGGTTAGTTGCGTATCCTTAACAGGACGTTGCAGAACCAACCTTAACAGCCCCTGGCTGTTGTGCGGTTTCTCTGGGCAAGTTTACGTCCAGTAGTTTGCCATTGCTTCTGGACGGTCGGCTTTCTTGATACCACTGTCAAAACCAACGCAAGGCGCGTGGCCCGCAGCTGGGATCGAACCTGGCATCCCGGCATTACGAAGCGTTCTCATCGACTAAGCCACAGAGCCGATGTTACATTATGAAAGATCCCAGCATCAGGTGGTTTTATCTGTGTTGGAGGCATCTGTTCCTTATGTGGGTGCAGTGTTTGTATGTCAGATGACTGAAGTCTGTTTTACACCCAGAGATTGTGTTTGAAACGTGCAGAAAAGAACATGAAAGACTTTCCACCTGAGTTGCAACAAGAAATATCTCACAGACTAAACACCTGATGTTTTCAAGACTTGACTGCCTGTGCAGAGAGAACTATCTGGCACCAGAGAAACAGCAACTGCTGTCTTCTAAGATGTGTGCAGTTTGAACTTAGGAAGCACAACAATGGGCTATAGATGTTGGCAGTATGCTATTCACATGTGAGTAAAGACTCCATACTAATGAGTTTGTTTGAAGAACAATAAGATTAATTCTGGTAACAAGTAAACACCTTTCGGTTGGGAGGGGAGAAAGGAAGAAACTTTAAGGATAAACTTGTAAAAGAGAGAAGAAATCCAGTGGATACAAAAGCTAATAGTAAACTACTCACAGGCATGCCAGGTTGGACTGGTGCTCAGCGGCCAAAAAACTAGCATGATTTCAAAACAAGGCAGCTGTTGCATTGATCGCTGTTTAATAATCACCTGGTGAGCTGTGGTAGATAGCCTGTTGGCCTATTACCCCCCCCCCCCACCCCACCCCCCACCCCAATTTTCGATCATGATGTGTCTTGGTCAAAAAGTGTTTGTTGTCGTGTTTGACTATCAAACACGATCACCAGAATGATGAATCAGGTCAGTGTTTTTATCTTGCCCCATCACTAATATGGTTGTGCCATCTGAGTAATGATCTCTTTGTGTTTCTTCAATGTTGTTATTTGTTACCCGATTCATTATAAGATGTTTGAAAAACACAGTCTGCCTTCATTGACTTTCTCTCTGTTGACGGTCTTTATGTTTCAAAGAGTACTGCTTTCTTTGTTTTCCCATAATTCAATGACATTATTAGCACCTCTCAAAAAACCCCATCCCCACTGTGAGTAAACTCTGTTCTGTTTGTCTGCTATATTATCTTTTGTTTTTTTTTCAATGTCCTCTTTGTCTATCTCCGTACAGACAGTGATCGTTGAGATGAAAATGTTGAAATAATAATCAACATCATAGCATTCAGGACACTCTTATAAGTACTCAGTCCCCATCTCCAGCAGCAAGCGAAGAGTTCCAATTCTGATGGTAATGGTAACTGTCTAATTGTACATCCTTTTCGCCTTTTCCTTGAACGTTAGCCGGATCACCTGGTAACTTCCCACATCGCAATTTTTTTTCAGACCGTAATAATCTATTTGTGCCTCCACACCGTTCTAATTGTATTTCTCACTTTTACGAACAATACTGCAGTACATGTTTATTTTTTTTAACATGTTAAATGAATACAACATAAATAAAGATGTCTGTCATTAACACTAAAAAATAAAAATGAAAAGTCAAAAAAAAAAAAATGATCATTCTTGTACGATGCTGGTTTGTGTTCAACATTAGTCAACGAAATTAGTCGATAGTTGAGTTCCAACTTCACAGTAGACGGGTCATCACATAACTGTTCCCTGTCTGTGTCATTGAACATCATAAAAAACGCCTTTACTGTCCCCTGTGAAAACTAGAGGAAAACCCGTTGTTCCCAGCAACATCTTGGAGTTCGCACACATATAATAAA